GGAACATTCTTCCTCCCGGGGCAGCTCGCGGCCCAACGAGTCCTGGGGGATCATAGAGTTCGTGCTCATTCGATCGGGGCTTCAACATTGGTGACATTGGCGCTTGGCCGGTCAACAAACCTTCCTGATCTTCGACCCATCGGAATCGTTAAGCTTTGGCTTTTGGGGCGAGAAGACGATCTTCTCGTTGGACATCGTACCCCTGCATAGTGCGCTCGGGTCCAGGCTGAGCGTGGCCTTGAGGGTGCTCTTCTTAACGATGCCGTTAACGACGCCGGGGCTCTCGTCCCCGTTGCCCGCTGGACTCGGCGATGAGGTGCGCGTGTTCGGCGACGAGGATACGACCTCGGGCAGCATCCCGGAAGACTGCGTGAAAAGGGAGCCGAGGCTCGCATCCGTGGTCGCGGTGCTCCTGGAGTGATCGTTGGGGCGAGCAGCAGGCGGCGACTTTGGCTGGACGTCTCCTTTGTCATCGCTACCCTCGGCATTAGGGCTCATCGACGAGGCCTGATTCGTCGACGACGAGCTGAGTGGATCGTCCTCGGTGTCTCTTTGGCATTCCTCACGCTTTCGTGAATGAAAGAGGAGGACACTATTATAATTTTGTTCTTAAAGCTTAAGTTTCTCTCCTACCCCATAAGCCCTTTAAATTGAACTTTGACTCTCGTTTCCTTAATAGTGGAGCTGTTATGGCATTTGTAGTATATAATGAGCGAGCATGCAGCAATTGACGTCATAATGTAAATTAGAATGAGCAGACTGACGTCAAATAGAGATTATAGAGAGGGGTGGGAGCTTTCTTTATTATGTGCTTAGAATTAGAGCTTTGGCATCGATTTATTATCGACTTGGTTCGAGCCAAGTGCGTCTTAAATTTTTTACGTTGAAACGAATATCGCACAAATGGAAAATAATTCCCGTTTTACTTATTATATTCTTCTGTCTCACCAGATCAATTTAATTGATTAACCGGAGATAAATGAGATGCGTATTTCAAGAGACGCGCCCCGTCAACTCAATGTCAATAATGCTGGAAGTTCCCCTAATGCTCCTAGTAGTTTACCATTGGACTACAAAAGACAATAAATTTGCAATTTAGCTGGACTTTGAATCTCGAGACTTGCAAACATCGAGAGATGCCTCTTCCTCTTCCCATCTCACGCGGAATAATGGAAACGATTTTCGATAAAACTCACCTTATTGTCACATACGTCGTCAAGGTCGTGCTCGTCAGGAATACCAGTGTGCGTGTGAAAGTGCTCGCGTGGCGGCGAATCGTCCGGACTGTAAACAGGAGGATCCCTATGGAAGTTGTTGCGGTTGCTCTGCTCTTCGGATGAGTGTCTGAGTGACGCGTAAACTATACCCGGCGGCTGTCCAATGCGATAAGTCGCTGGCCGGAAGTTGAGGCGTGGCTGCATGTACGCTCCACCGTCCAGCTGTTGTGCATCATTATTATCGTTGTAATAAATCTGGTCTCTCTCTCTATTTCTCTCTCTCTCTCTCTCTATTTCTCTCTCTCTCTCTCTCTCTCTCTCTCTCTCTCTCTCTCTCTCTCTCTCTCTCTCTCTCTCTCTCTCTCTCTCTCTCTCTCTCTCTCTCTCTCTCTCTCTCTCTCTCTCTCTCTCTCTCTCTCTCTCTCTCTCTCTCTCTCTCTCTCTCTCTCTCTCTCTCTCTCTCTCTCTCTCTCTCTCTCTCTCTCTCTCTCTCTCTCTCTCTCTCTCTCTCTCTCTCTCTCTCTCTCTCTCTCTCTCTCTCTCTCTCTCTCTCTCTCTCTCTCTCTCTCTCTCTCTCTCTCTCTCTCTCTCTCTCTCTCTCTCTCTCTCTCTCTCTCTCTCTCTCTCTCTCTCTCTCTCTCTCTCTCTCTCTCTCTCTCTCTCTCTCTCTCTCTCTCTCTCTCTCTCTCTCTCTCTCTCTCTCTCTCTCTCTCTCTCTCTCTCTCTCTCTCTATCTCCCTCTCTATTTATCTATATATCATTATTAAAAGCCAAATATATATGGTAGTAACACGTAATTTTGGCATATCTTTCCTTTAAGTATTTACTGTATTACGTAATATTTGTTGAATATTTTCAAGTCAATGAAAATGTTCCAAAATATTATTGGAAATTATAGTTGTACATTATTGTAAATTGCGGTGAATTTCCGTTTGCGATATTGAAAATTGCAAATAAATTTTAAGTATATTTCTAACAATTTCAACTTACGTCCGAATGCATGTTTATACATTCTGTTTCGGGATCCGGTCTCATAATAGTAATTTCACGCTCGCAAATTGGCAGGAGATCGTAATTCGGCGTTGGATGATTGATCACATCTGGATCCTGTAAATCCATAATATTTTGTGTATCCCATTAATTTTATATAGCATATACATGGGCGTTTTAGAATATTTACGAATATCATTTATAATTGCTCACTGCTACTTATTATGTTTTTTTAATTATCCATACGATATGTTATGAATTCGATTGGGCAAATTGAATTTACCGATGAATGTGTTACCAATGTATTCTGCCAAATACATTGAGCAATTAAAAAATTCAAATAAAGTTAGAAAACTAAGGTGAGACGAAGCATCGCAATAATAAGCCTGATTATCGCGTGTTGGTCGTTAAATCTTTCGTTAAAGTTTACTCGACTTGTGGCTTAAAGGACCGGGCGGAAGGTCGATTGGGAAGGGATCGGAAAGATACCCACCTGCAGGCAATAGCCAATCCTCTCGACGATGGTCGTAAAACTCGGCCGCTCCTCCGGGTGGGGGTGCCAGCAGCGCGTCATCACACCGTAAATGGGATCGGGACAGCCGGCGGGCCTCTCCAAACGACCGCCGCTCGTCACCATCGACATAACCTCGCGGTTAGCACATCCAGTGTACGGCATATAGCCGAAGGACATTATCTCCCAGAGCAGCACACCGAACGCCCTGTGGCCACATTCTTTAATCAGTCTCTCGCTTAATCGTCGTTTAAAATTGGCAGTGCATTTATTATTTCACCAATTGGGGGATATTGAATTTTCGTCCCGATTATGTTCTACGTTTCGATGGATTCTTTATTCTCTTCCTGGATTTTATCAACAGAGCTCGTATTATGAGAATATGAGGAATAATTATGTGGAGCTGGCGTTTCGAGCGACATTGAGCCGTTAAGCGCTAGATGAACAAAAAAAGTCACTAACCAGACGTCGGTCTTAGTGGTGAAGATACCGTCGAGGAAGCTCTCCGGTGGCATCCACTTTATCGGCAGCATCGCTTTGCCACCCTTCCTATAGTAGTCGCTCCTGTAGATGTCCCTGGCCATCCCAAAGTCCGCGATCTTGACGACTCGACCGGGTTCCTTGGAGGTGAGCAGGCAGTTGCGCGCCGCTATGTCCCGGTGAATGAAACGCGCGTCTTCCATGTACTTGCAGCCCTTGGCTACGTCGTGCGCGAGCATTATGAGATTTTGCATGGTGAGGGTGGTTGGTCGGTCCTAGGTGATAAACATTAGACGGAACGTTTATTACGTGCTTTGGCGGTATTCTCGGGGACTATGACTGGGCCAATAAGTAGGTTGTAGTAGCCGCAATCGATGGACAAATGTCCGATAAATTGAATTGATTGTCGATGAATTGATTGACCTCTGCGTCGGAAGAGGAGAAGGGTGATGGGTGAGGGTGGATGGGGGGC